TACACTCTGTCCTCTTCCCACTCCAATTTACAAGGAACTGTTCTTCAGAAATTCATCACAAAGTGTTTGACTAGTAACAAGCTCAAGCTCCTCTGCAACCCTATCCTCATTCTGGGTCACCTTTTTTATCTTCTGCCCTTTAGTGGAATCTAGTCTATCATCTCCCTCTCCATCTCTCTCGGAAAGGTTAATATTCTTCCATTCACTTTAACACGGGACTGTGATAAAGAGTGGCATTCCCCTGATCTCTCCCTGTCAATTCCAGGTGGGTTTGCTTCCATGATCTCTATAACAACTAATGCTATTGTGGGGTCTCTGTCATCTGGCCCTACCCTTCTCTGATAGCCTTCTAGCTTTGATTTACCAACCTCCGACCTCCAACTTCCAACCTCAAAAATCAGATCCCGGGTTATGGTCTTCCCCTCATCCCAAGCCCTACCAGCCACGGTCCCACAAGACTGTATGGAGGTGGGTAATACACAGGAACCTTCCCCCCATTCTGATTATCTGCTTAATATAGCTGTTCCCTTCTTATATCTTGCCATTACCTCTAGAACTGGCTACTCTTCTAACACCTTGAACCCCAGAACCTGGAAAAGGTGCACTGCTCAGCACTTTCAGTCTCTAACTTCACCCTGGCCACATTGTTTCATAATATCTCTCTTTATACAGAACACAGAGAGTAGGAATCATGTCTCTTCACTGAAGATTGAACATACCATTCTTTATGGAGGAAGATGTAAGATTTAGGGCTTTATCTTGCCCTTTGCTTACCCTAAAATAGAAATACTAAAACCTATGTTAGGGGCTAGGGATGTGGCTCAAGCAGTAGGGCGCTCGCCTGGCATGCGTGCGGCGCGGGTTCGATCCTCAGCACCACATACAAACAAAGGTGTTGTATCTGCCAAAAACTAAAAAATAAATATTAAAAATTTCTCTCTCTTCTCTCACTCTCTCTTTAAAAAAAAAAAGGAAATTTGCTTGTCCTCTGCTTCTCTTTWAAAAAAACCTACTTTAAAAGATGTAAGAATTCTGGGATTTGTTTGTTAATGTACAGCATTATTCTATAGCAAGTAGAGGGTAGGCAARATTTGACATCAATAAATCCAAATTATGTGCAATCTAAGTGATCTCTAGTAGGGATCCAGTGATTCARTGGGAAAGCTAAAAAGTGGTTAGCGAGGTGTCACATTTCACACATTTTATGACTATGTGTTAATCCTGGAATAGTTTGGAGAAGTCTTCAAAAATAGTATATAAGTTATTCATGTTTAAAAATGTAAGTTATTGTAGCTTTTCTCCATATACCATATTCTGTACACTCTCTATACATCTTAATGGGACACTTAAGGACCATTGCTCAAGACTTGATATAGACACCATAGGTCACACCATCTCGGTAGCTTGTTGATGACAGCTGGAGGTTGGAGAGACCTGTGTAAAAGATTATTTTTTAAAAGGGAAAGCYACTGAAATATTTGTACAGCTTCCTAAACAGAGTTGTTATGAGGTGGCCTGGGGACTTCTTTAGAAATATGTTCAGGAATGTGAGTTTACAGGTTAAGAAAGACAAAGTTATGGGACAAGAATCAAACAGTAGGGCAAGATATGACTTTCACAGATAGATCTTTGAGACTTCTCTTGTCTTACTGAAGATTCCCCATATCAATCAAAAAGAGATCACTGATTGTTTGAGTCAGCTTTGCATCGCTGCAACCAAAACACCTGACAAGCACAATTAGAAGAGGAAAAGTTTACTTTGGCTCAAAGTTTCAGAGGTGTAGTCCTTCTTGGCTAAATCTCTGACATGCTCCCAGGGACCCACCTCCTCCAGCCACAACCCACTTGTCTACAGTTAGCACTCATTCAGTCCATTCACTGTAGATTAGACTGATTAGGTTACAGGTATCATAATCTAATTATTTTTGTATTAACACAGGCGTTTTAGGGGGACACCTCATACCTAAGCCATAATATAAATATCTGAAATTTTGCCCTCCTTTTATTCTAGGCTTGTTAATGAAAAATAAATAAATAAATAAAGATCCAATTCTTGAGATTAGGGCAAAAATACTATCATCTACATTTTCAAATTGCCACACCAAAGACTCTCCAAAAAGCATGCCCATCGACCATCTGGTTCAGATGCTCTCTGTATCCAGGTGAGTGGTGCACACCTGTAATCCCAGCAATTCCGGAGGTTGAGGCAGGAGAAACACAAGTTTAAGTCCAGCCTGAGCAACACAAAATACTGTAAAAAAAAATCAAACACACCCTCAGTGGCAAACAAGGGCCTGAAACCAAAAGCCAAATCCAGTGCTCCATCAGTTTTCATATGTAGCTTCAAGCTAAAAGTAGTTTTTTCTAATTCTCCAAGGTTGGAGAAAAAAATCAGAAAAATAATATTTTGTCATATGTGAAATTCAATTTTAGCATCCATAAACTTGCACTAGATTACAGCCATGTTCATTTTATTAGGTATTCCCTATGCTTTTGAACTTCTCAGACTTCTCAATGTTTGCTTCTTGGTAGGCAAGAAGTTACATTCCCTTTCTTAAGGAATGTAACTTGATTTAATGTTTCTTACTGGTAAGCATTCTAAGTCTGTGATATGAGGTATTACCCTGTAGGAAATTTATGTCAGTTCCCCTCCTCAGTTAGAGATGCAAAGGATATCTAGGGAAGAACTCCATAAGATAGTTTTATTGACTTGTAAAGTACAAACCCAATTTTGTTTCTGACTTTTCAGTCTTATTCCAGTATTCTCTTTTCTGTGCACTGTTTCAGTTTGTTATTACTTTGAATAATCAGCTTTGTCATTTTGCTGTTTCTTTTATTCATGAGTTAAATAGATCTGACACAGGCAGACTGTATATTTGAATATTGTTATGTTTAATCATCTGAAAATTTAACATACTCTTCTAAAAATGAATTATTTTATTTAAAGAACTCTATAGTTGTTGCTGTAGTTTCAAATCACCAATAGTTGACCAGTCTTGAGCTTTCTAGTATTTGCATGCTTTGTTCTCCTAAGTCACACTGATGAAAACTGCTGGGATCCCCTTGGGAGGTGGGCTAATTTTTTTCTTAACTTATGTATCCTCATACACAAAGAACAAAATAGTGCCTAACAATCAGCTGGTGGATGGGTAACTGATTTCTGAAGACAGAAAAGTGCTTAAGCTTTGTCTAGAAATGCTAATTTCTTCTCAGAAATGGCTTGCAAATTTTATCACCCAGAGAACCAGACCAGACTAGGGAGTTTTATCTTAGCAAACATCATGTGTTCAAAAGCAAATACTTGAGCCTGACCTGCAAGTTACAGCAGAAAAGTCCAGAAGTCCAGGCAAATCCCCTCCAGGCTTTTAGTTCCTTCTCTGTTGAGGGATGTTTTCATACTTACAAGGTGTAACTTGTTTATAGTGTCTAACTTTCAGCAGGGGATTTAGAGCAGAAACTGGCCTTACTGGTCACGTCAAAGCATACATGCTGGTCAAGATCCCCTACTGAAGAAGCAGCCATAAAACCCATTACACTCTGTGTGCCCTGCAATGATCTCTCCCTGAGTGTGGGCTTCAAACACTCAAAAAGGCCCCCAGAAAACTACTTTCTCTTCATGCATGAAGAACTCCTAGCCTTCTGTCCTTCCAAAGAAGCACCTTATCTACTTGTACTTCTTTTGCTATTTCATTTTATGACCTAAAAGAAATAGATAATTGTAGCAAAAGAAAATATTATGAGAAAACTTAGAGCTAAAGCAAATAATGGGAGAGTCAATGTGTATACTATTTAAATAAGCAGATTATATGGACAGCATCCAGGCTAACAAGATAGTGATATTTTGAGTAAAACTGTCCTTTTGTATTGGTTCTATGTTTTGCTGCAGTAGGGAAAGAGAACAGTATCTCCTCTCTCGGACCCCCTACCCACAAGACATATGCAGCATTTCTGCATTTCAAAGACCACTCTTAAGATCACTGCCAGCCAGTGTTTTGCTTAGGAGAAGTTTCTCTCTCTCTCTCTCTCTCTCTCTCTCTCTCTCTCTCTCTATATATATATATATATATATATATATATATATGAATACCCTAGGAGGGAAGGGATATATATATATAGGATATATATATATATGTATAAGGGATATATATATATATATAAGGAATATATATATATATATAAGGAATATATATATAGGATTACCCTAGGAGGGAAGGGATAGGAGCTTAGAAAGTGAGAGATAATCCCAATGGAAGTCTCACCAGCTGGGGCTGGGGGATGAGGAGGTTGGGAGTGGCGTCCTGCCAGTGTTGAATGAAGGCAACGACTGTCCAAATTCTGAATCTAGGTGTATTGGATGCGGCTTCAGCGTAGATAGGGTTAAAAATGGCCTTTGCATGGTTGAGCCAGGCTGGGAGCCAGTCGGAGCCCATGAAAGCCTCCCTTCAAATTAAGATGAATAAATCATAATTTGTAAATCAATAGCATGTTACTCAGTCTTTGATTATCCCTGAGGTGTGGGTCAATCCCCCCAGGAATTGAAGGGCTGGTTTAACACGGCAAGAAGAGCAGACCACGCCCCCGGCCCGCCCCAGCCCCACATCCGCGCTGGAGGCAATCTCAGCAAGCTAGTTCCCTCCTCCGGAGGATTCTCCCTCCCGCGAGAACTTCTGGAACGCAGCCGGGGCGTAAAGGCATCTGTACTGGGCCGCCGTGGGAGTACTGCTCTTCTTATAGGGTTCTGGTGAAAGTTAAGGAGCTGATTTAAGTACAAAGCAGAGAGTCTGGAACAATAGAAGTTTCCCATCAGGCGTTCCGTTACTACCACTATCGGGAACCCGTTACAGCGGGAGATGAAGAAAAGAAAACCGGGAAACCGGAAAGGTCTGCAGAAGGGGCGGGACGCGGGAACCTTGATTTGAGGAGGGGGGTGGCGGGGGAGAGCCCACGGGCGCAGCCAATCCAGCTGTCCCAGGGAGGAAGAGGAGGAGTCAAGGCCCACCCCCGACTCCGCCGTGCTCACTCCCGCGCTGTGTGTTTGGCCCGGCAGCCGCGTCTGGGCCCGGCACGTTCGCCCATCGCAGCCTCTTCTCAGCACAGACATGGCCTCGGGCGCTGCTACCACTGCGGTGAAGGTGAGATCAGCCTGCCCGGTGGCTTTGGTTCTCCTTGACCGGTAGCCTCTCGCTCCGCTCCTGGGAACCGCACCTCTGGTCTGTGCGCTCTGCCAGTGCAGCGGTGCGGCGGCGGGGAGGGGCTGGGGCGCGGCCCTCCGGGAGGGGTGCACACCTTCTCGCTGCCAACCTGAGGGCTTAGCTGCATTCCCCTCCCCAACCTTGGGGTTTGTCTGCACCGCACCCTGCAGGGCGGTGGCAAGTCATTTTTAGAGGGGCAGTGGGTGGCCTTAGGTTTCACCTGCGCTGCTGCCCTTCTCAGGCACCACTCCCTTCTCGTGAGGTGTGCTGGCTAGAGCTGGCCGTTTCCCCCACGTGGCCAGGCGCCTGCAGCTGCTGCGTCTGTCGCCCCACGCCTTGCGGGATTCGCGCTTCCGCTTTCTTGACTCCGCTCACTGTCCTCGGCCCACGTGGGAGAGCTGCGTACCTGCTCTTTTGCAAGCTTCTGGCTTCTTTTTCTTACAAACTTAACTTTCTCCTTGGTGAAGTTTTCCCCTAGCGCAATGCTGTAGAGTTCTGAGACTTTTCTTTAASTACACTAAAGGCGTTTCTTCCCTAGGGCCGCTCTTGCTTTGGAGGCCTCTGACTTGAAACTGCTTCGTTTGCAATCTGGAAAGTTAAGAGCTTAGATTCTTTGGGCCCCAGATCCTCAGAGGTCTGGGCACGTGGGATCAAAGCGCGGTAGGAAGCTCTGGCCAGAAAAAGGCGTGACTTTTGAGAGTAGTAGTAAGCTTCTTTGGGGCTTTAAACACTTCTTTCCTCTTTGGTGGAGAGTTAGTAGAATTACAGTACACAGAGAAAATTCTATGATAAAACTTAAGACCTTTTCTAGACTTTTATTATTGGCCAAGAACACGGTTAACTTGGTTCACTTTTAGAAATTTCTTGCCCATGATGCACAAGGTTCGCTTTCTTCTCCAAGCATTTCTTGGTTCCCTGCACTTGTGTGCAGCTCTCCTGGGAAAAAGCACTTCTCTGGGATCAGTTGGTATTCAGCCAGAGGGGTTGGTATATTAGGCCTTTGCAGTGTTCATGAAACATAAGGAGAGGAGTGGGTGAGGGTGTTGTAGTCAAAATTATATGTGTAACTTTTTGTGCGTTTTATAGACGGCACACTTTGAGAGGTTTCCCAGGACAATAAGAGGGAAGAAGGCAGAAACTCACGTGCAAAGTATGTAAGTTTCCTAAAGTAACTGTCTATGTAGTGCAGGTTTCACTGCAGAAATTAGTGTGTTGGTATTATGTTTTGCACATGGTTTAAACTTATTAAATAGTAATGTGTATAAGTGGAAGAGCTTAAATTAATTTTGAATTACCCTTTCTCCAACAATTAAACTATGTTTGGTATCATTAGGCCACAGTTTTCTCCTACGGGAATTTAAAGCACCAACAAAAAGAGGGATCTTACTTAAAACAGCTTCACTTTAATCCGGTTAGCATTCTCCTTGCCGGTTTTCCTGTAAAATAATGCAGTGCATTTAAGTGCAGAATGGGCAATGTGATTTAAGCCCTGATGTAAATATTGAATGATGTATATTTTTGTTCTTGGCAAGCTGCTGGACATCAAATTAAGAGGTACAAATGGTGCTAGTCCTGCCTGCTGATTTCTCTTTGTGAAGCTAGAACATGGGAGAGTCAAAGTGTACACTGTTTAAATAAGCAGATTATATGGACAGCATCCAGGCTAACAAGACAGTAATATTTTGAGTAAAACTGTCCTTGTGTATTGTTTCTGTGTTTTGCTTCAGTAGGGAAAGAGAACAGTATCTCCTTCCTGGGACCCCCTACCCACAAGATATTTGCAGCATTTCTGCATCTTATAGACCAGGTTGCTGCAAGCCAGTGTTTTGCTTAGATGAGGTTTCTCCATCGAGTAAGAAAATATATATATATTGGATTACCCCAGTAGGGAACTAGGGTAAGTGACAGCTTCATCACTGACAATCCATGTTGCCAGCATCACATCCCCCTCGATTGCTAAGGCAGCATTCTGTGTAGAAAACATGAAGGTACCCATGTCCAGAGCAAAACAGCTGGTAAGAACCATATTCTCTCCATTGTGGTGTAATAGTAGCAGCACTTTTCCTTCTATGGCCACACTAACTCTTTTGCAGGTGTCAAAGATCAACTAAGGTGTCCAGAATTACACAGCAGGGCCTAGATAATGGTAGAATTGGGCCCAGAGCCTGGCATTCCACCAAGTGGATGTGAGGCATTTCTGAAATATTTCTATGCCCTGTTTTATTGTGAGTCTTCAGAAGGGCATCCAGCCTTAGAAAGGGGAATTGGGAGTGCATGCACAAAGCAGGCCATCCTCCGTGAACCCACTGAACACACTCTCCAAGTCTGATGTGGAAGCACAGTTGTGTGTCTGAGCCCTCATTGACATCACTGGCAGCTGACATGTGGCCWGACTTACTGCCATCATTTCATCTGGTCATTTAAATAGCAGTTTGATTGGAGGTGTAGGGATGAGGGTGTTGCAGCTTAAYTCAAGGCAGAGAGGGGAGGAAAGAACTATGAAGGCCAGAAGCCCAGCCCATATCCCAGAAGGTCCTAACACTTCTTCCTCAGAATCTTACCCTTAGGGTCCTTGGCTGTCAGAGAAGCGCTAGTCACACTACTTTGAGAGGTGTTGGATTTAAGCACARTAACATCTAACACATTGAGCCCAGTTCTACATACTCCGTTAATGCCAGCCCTAGTCCCTCCCTTTGTAAAATACAACTATTACCAAGGATTGGAGCTTAAATTCAGTCACCTTGGTTTAAGAGGGTCTGTTAGATCATCTAAAGGTTAAAAACATCAGATTGGGGTTGGAAATGTGATAYTTGTATATTGTTCAAATCTAGCTGTCTACTGGCAGATTTTTATGCAAAAGTATGTACTGAATATCTGCCAGGCAGTGGGGGTACATCTTTGAGTAAGACTGTGTCCCGCTTTTCTTCAAGCTTATCTGGTAGTGGAGGTAGAAGGCCAGCCAACATGAGAGTGAAACAGAGTGATGGGGTCAAAAAAGACCTCTAGGAAAGCAGATTCTAAGCTGTGTAGTGGTCTCCCCCAATTTTATATGTTGAAACCTAATTGCCAGTGTGATGGTACTAGGAGGTGGGCTTTGGGGGAGTGATTAGTGTTAAGTTAGAGCCATCATGCCTATGAATAGTGCTTTGGAGGTGGGGATAACCAGGGATTGAACCCAGGGGCACTTAACTACTAAGTCACATCCCCAGCCTGTTTTATATTTTTTTCTGAGACAGGGTCTTGCTAAGTTTGTGAGGCTGGCTTTGAACTTGCAATCCTCCTGCCTCAACCTCCCTAAGCAGCTGTTATAATAGGTGTGTACCACCATACCCAATGAATAGTGCTCTTTTGAAAGAGGCTCCAGAGAGTTACCTTATCCCCTTCTACCATGTAAGGCCTCACCTATGAACCAGAACAGGTTCTCTCCAGGCACTGAATCTGCCTTCATCTTGGATTTCTGGCTTACAGACTGTGAGAAATAGATATCTGTTGCTTATAAGCCACCCAGTCTAGTATTTTATTATTGCAGCTTGAGCAGATTAAATATAAGTGGCTAGACAAAATGAGGATAATCATGTGAAGACCTGAGGAAAAATAGGGGTCAAGACAGCTAAAACCAAGGTCTGAGGCAGAAGTGAGATGGCTGGGTGCAGCTTATTTAGCCTTCCATACATACCATGATTTGGATTTGATTCTAAGTGTTCTGGGAACCATTAAAAGGTTCTGAGCAGAGAGGTAGGATCTGATTTACATTTTAAAGTGATTACTTGGCTGCTGTGTATTGAGTAGCCTGTATAGGGAAGGAGCTAGATCAGGCCAGATGCTGCGGCACTAGTGCCCAAGTCGGGGTTGGTGGCCACAGAAGTCGTAGAACAGAGGTTGGCAAGATATGGGACTGCAGCAGAGGGACAGGAGGATTTCTGTTTCCCACCTGGGGAACCCAAACGATGGTAATGCTGGCGATGGTTTTCAAACAGAAGATGGGAAGGAACCRTGAGTGATTCTTTGAAGCAAGGAGGGTGAATATAGGATTCCTTCATCTGATGTACTACTGGTGGTTAGCAGGCTGGGACATATGATGCCAAGGGGCCTTTGCTATAGGAATAAAGTGGGTGCAGAGTGATGTTGGGTTGAGGGACGGAGGACGCCCCTGAGAAGAAAAGTAATTGGATAGTCTAATGGTTCACTGTAGTTGGGTATGGTTCATGCAATGGGTAAGGATAATAGGTGGGCAGTCAAGAACAGAGGCAGCCATGGGATTAACGCCTGGCATTATCCAGGGGGACTTCAGGGAGACATTGTCCTCCAGCTTCAGCCACAGCAGATGATAGCTGACCAGGCAAAAGGCCAAACAGGTCTTTGCCATTCATTCAGGGAGAGGGTGTTCTAAGGGATCTTAGTGGGCTGYGACTCCTCTGCAACTGCCCAACTTTCACTCTGGGAAATTAAAAAATAATGTGTTAATCTTTTTTGCTGTGACARGGAGGGGATATGTTTCACAGTGACCTGCACAGCGAGTGAACAGTTCTCCGAACACAGGTGTGGGTCAGATTAGGAAAATTTGAAATTATAAAAATAAAGACAAGGACTCAATTATAAGTGGAAGCAGGATATGGTGGGTACACCAGCTCTGGTGGAGTCTGGCTTAACAAAGAGCAAGAGTCTCTGTGTTTATTGTATAGGTATAAACATCAAAGGGATTAAGTTTGTGAGCAAAACAGCTTAGTTGGGACTTATCAGTTTGCACCCACGTCTTCTACCTCYGGGCTGCTGGGATTTGAWTTCAAGGCTTTTGAACTAGTACATTCCATGACAGGCATGGAATTCTCCCTATCAACAGTGCTGAGTCACCTGGAGATGGGTGTTTCTCTTGGCACTGTTTTTTTTTTCTTTCTTTCTTTCTTTACACAAATGGAGCACAACTTTTTCTCTTGGCACTA